TCTTTATATTAAATAAATAGAAAAATCATCGATTTAAAAATAATTTTCGTCGAAATAAATGAAATCCTATTCTTGTATGCGGAATTAGTCTGGAAGATTGCGTACATCTCTAATCCAAGAATTGCTTTTCACATTGCGGTTGAGCTTCGAGAAGGGTTTGCGTTCGTCGTGTGCTCCGAATACCACAGCGTCGGCCTCGAATTCACGAATCCTTGGACAACTGTAGTTAAGGTCTTTGGCTCTTTGGTATATCTGAATGATAATACTTAGATATTCGAAATCAGGAATCTCTCGAATACCAAAATCATTCTATTCAAGTTGACCCGATATCGGATTTTTTTTGTTGGTTATCCTGGTCAATGTGTCTCTATCAATAAGTGATAAATAAAATAATTAATTTTAACACTTTAATTTTCATGAATTCGTTACGAAGAGAGAACGGAACTCGTAAATAAATTTATATTGAAACGCTTATAAAAATGCTTTGGGCCTCTTTGATTGAACACTTTCTTGCGTTACGAAAGATCGAAACGTAGTTCGATGGGGAGAATGATTTAGGTCATGACCCAGATTTTCCCCATCGCGTTTCTTTCTCTTTTCCACTCCTCCCATCACCGTTCACTCTCTTTTCCTCTCGCTCTTCCCGTCTCCGAGCAATGTTCTATCAGTTCCTTGCTGCATACACCGTTCGCTCGAGTTGCTACATCGTCGGAAGCACTGTAATTGGACAGCCATCTAAGATAAAACTTAACGATGGTTCGATGATTCCTTCGAAGATCTGGAAGATAACGAATCTTCAAAGGGGATAATAGTAGAATTTCTCGTTAAAATCTATGAGAGAGAATAGATACTTTGTTTTGATTATTATAAAAAAAAAAGAAATAAAATATAATTATAATAAAAAGAAACAAAAAAAGAAAAACTAACTTTACAAAATATATATCATTTAACGCTGACTTATATAGACGTATTTGTTTTCATTTCATTCATTTATCTTGGCAAGTTACAAAGTCCAACGAGATCATTTGGCGTATAGGTACATACTGAAAGATTATCAAATATAAACACGTTAGAAGGAAGGTATAAGCAACAAGTATCGACTCGTTTGTTACGGGAAAGGATTTATTTGTGCGACAAAAAAAATAGAAAGAAAGGTTCGGAGTTTTCGGATGGTCACATCAATTAGCGGCGTCGTAAATCTCTGACCATAAATTTCTACTCTCCAAGACAGGACGCGTGTATCTGCAAAACCCGTGTAATACTCGTATAATATGTTAGTCCCTTTTTTTTTGTTTTTTTCTTTTTCTTTTTCCTTCCTCATTCTTTCGGGAATACAAAACCTTACGAGGTTCGAAGGCAAACAGCATGCGACAAATTTGGTTTTGAGGTTTTAACCCTCGTTAAGGTCACTTTTCAAAAGTTTCTACATGTTATCCTAAAGAATGGGCACGCCAGGGAGAAAGAAGAAAAAAAAATTCACATTGCAAAGTAGCAAGAGTTGTTTGTTTCGAATAGCGTTGGTTTTCATGGTAAAAGCGGATTTATGAGTGGTTTCTTCCGTGAAAATGACTCATCCGTAAATGTAGTGTGCTCGCACGAAGAAGAAAGAAGAATAAATAGTAGAAGAAGAAGAAGGGAAAAGAAGAAGAAGAAGAAGAAGAAGAAGAAGAAGAAGAAGAAGAAGAAGAAGAAGAAGAAGAAGAAGAAGAAGCATTTCGGTCTCTCTGCTCTCGTATGCATTTCCGGTAGAAAAGCGAGCAGGAGCTTTGCAGTTCGTCTTGGACGAGTGCCACTTTGTGTTCCGTGCGTTCTTTCGTATCTCGTACTCGCTACTACTTCGATCCGTTATTACCATTTTAAAGCTCGTTAGGAAAGAAGACATTGTGTGGATCTTTTACCCTTCTTCTTCTTCTTCATCTTCTTCATCATTTTATTCGACGTTCGTCGAATCACGTTGAAAGATCGTTCGATTATCATCTTATATATCATCTGTCTATCCGTCTATATTGTCTTTTCTAGCATCCTTCTTACTCTTTCCGAAGTCGTGTGGTACTACGTCGACAACTTGTTGGACATTTTGGCGCAAATCGTGACTAAGCACGTACGAAAGTTACTCGAAGCGCTCTCATCGGTGTGACGCGTTTCAAGGTCCTACTACACTAAGCTTTATCGCTGCTAGCAAAACTTGACGCTCTCTTAAATCGTTCTTCTTATGTGTTATAGACAGTTCGATTTCTTTCGCAAACGTTCCTCGAGCATATGGTAGGTATATACCAATAATCCTCTACCACTTGAAGCCTTTTAAAACTACGAAAGACTACGGTCCGTTTGTGAGGAAGAAAAGTAGTAAGTGAAACATTTCGACCGAACGAAATGATCTCGTTCTTATTAGGAAAAGAAAGAGACCGAGGAGGAAAAGCTTTGATAGTAACTCCGTCGGTATTCGTTGGACACTCTGGATAGTTTCCAAAGGCAAACGAGAGTCACGGAAAAGTAATGATCTCCTTCTCTCTCCCTCTCCCTCTTTCTTTTTCTTTTCTTTCCTTTTCCTTCTTTTCCCTTTTTTCCTCGACTTTTTTTTCGGTTGGAATCTTTCCAAGGACGATTCTACCGATTCGGTCGTCCCTATTTTATTCGCGAGGCTGCAAATTCCTGGAAGATCAATTACCAACGATGCTCGTGTCGTTCCAGTTGACGCATCTCCTCGACGTTGCACTTTTCCACGACGGAAGTAGCTTAGTCCGATATCGGGCACGTTACACGAGCACGTTAAACGTTTAACGTTTCTCTCTAGCTGCATTCGGAGTCATTCCCGTTTTAAAAGAAAGGCGAGGAGATAGAAAGAGTGTAACAACAACAAAAAACTAGGGTGAAGGAGAAGGAAGTTAAACAGTAAAACGTTTTCAAGTAATTGGAAAAAGGTATTCGCGGTCGTATCGTGTCCACCTAGTTTTCTCTCTCTCTCTCTCCCTCTTTCCCTCTTAGGTATACATACAAGTAGGTACGAGCCACTCTCTTCTAGTCGTTGATGCTTTTAGGGTTCTTGCTGGTTAACGGAGTAATACGCTTCATTACTTAATGGCGTGTAATTCACTTCGCTTACTCGTATAATCTGCTTCAACGCGTGCCCTACCACAATTTTAATCGAACGCGTACGTACGGTCCACCGTTTCTAATTCAACAAGTTAACCATGTTGTTTCCTTTCGTCAAAGGAAAACATATAGAGATTCATTTTTCGTAGGTCGTAATACGTTCGTCAAGTTCAAGTAAAATCGTTTTCCATTTTGTTTTTTTTTCCTTTGGGTAAAAAGTTCGCGTGACCCAGTATATTCCATCATCATCGATTATCGTCCATGCTAATTGGATCGAAGCTTTTTAATCTTTAATAATATTTAACCGACGATTTTCGAAAAAGTGGAGTTGGAAGGGCGAGTGAAAGGGCGAGTGAAAGGGTGGTGGAGGCGGGGCAGGAGAGAGAGAATCGGTAGGACGGTGTTAAATACTGCTCGTTCTTCCTTAAACGCTTTCCTTTCACGTAAAGCAAACGAAAGGTTTCAAAGTATCCGTTTATAGAAGAGGCCTTCCTACGTGTTTGCCGAAGAAAACGTCGATGGTTTCGAAGGGGAAAGCTTCCCCTCTCCTTCCCTCCCTCTCTCCCTCTCTCTCTCTCTCTCTCTCTCTTCTTCGTCTTGCTACCAGAATGGAATACAAAAAGGTACCTTCGACAAGTCGATAATTGGCATCGAGTTATTCTCGGTTTAACTACGTCGTGAAACGCGTTCGTCCGAAAAGAGACACCCAATACACCGATCTCTTTCTTTTTTCTCTCCTTTTTTTTTTTCTTCCCTCCTTTCCTTCTCTTCTCTTCGCCGTTTTACTTTGGGATCTTATTCGTTCGAAGGAAAGGAGAACTAGAGTAAAAAGCGAAAAAAAGTAAATAATTCGTAAAAGCGAATCAACGAGAAAAGAGTAAGAGAAAGAGTAAGAGAAAGAGTAAGATAGAGAGAAAGAGAGGACACGTATAATTACAGTGCGGTTTAAAACGGGACGATACCGGGCGGAGATACGTTATTACACGGCGTGTTATACGGCAAACAGGGAAGAGAGATAGAGAAAGAAAGAGGTGAACTAACGAGGCGAAAAAACACGAGCTCGTGCCACCGGTTCACGATCGTATTTTCGGTGTGGAAGACCGCAAACGCCATTACTTTTCCGTAGAATTTCAGTCGACGAACAACAAGTAGTAGATACGTATATGTATGTATATATATATAATGCACAAGTATATAAGTTAGGTGAGCATACACGCTCTCTCTACTCGACGACTTTCAGGGTCACGCGTACTTAAAAGAGTGTATCGTACTCGCGGTCGTTTTACCTGGTTCTTACCTTTTTTTCTTTCGTTCGTTCGTTCGTTCGTTGGTTCATTCGTTCATTCGTCCGTCCGTTTTCGTCTGTTATCTCACTAAAAGGCGCAAGATACATACGGGAAAAGAAAAGAAAGATCCGCGTATTCGTCGGGGTGGTACTGGCAGATAAATTCCTCTCTCTCTCTCTCTCTCTCTCTCTCTCTCTCTCTCTCTCTCTCTCTCTCGGAGTTACGCCGGGCGCGCCGGAAAGTTTCCTGGGAAAAGCGTGCTACGGCGACGTGAAGCGCGAAAGAGGTGGGCAAGGTGTACAGCGGGGCGGAAGAAGGAGAATAGGTTAAAACGAAGGAGTGCGAGAAAGAGATAAAACATCGTAACGGCTCGACAAAAAGAGTAGAAGAGAGAGGGCCGACTGCCGGCCGAGGAGGAGGTGGCGGAGGAGGTCGAGTAGGAAGAGGGACGGAGGGGGGAGCGGAATGGGTACCACGGCGACAGACGTGGTGGGGGAAGGTATGACGGGGCGGGACGTCGGGAGAGACGTCGGGAGGTGGGGAATGGAGGTGGGGAGGAGTGGGAAAGAGGGGGGAGACGTCGGCTCGTCGAGGCGCGCGGCGCTTAGTTCGAGTCGGACCTCCGTCGTAGTCGGATCGTATCGTTCCGCCCTAACACACCGTCTCTCTCTCTCTCTCTCTCTCTTTCTCGCGCGTGCTCTCTTCTCTCTCCCTTTAACCTCTCTCTCTCTCTCGCGCGCACACGAGACCTTCTTCCCGTCCTATCACTTTCTCATTTTTTTCTCTCTCTTTCTCTCTTTTTCTCTTTTTTTTTTCTCTTTCTCACTTTTTCCCTCTGCGCGCGTGTGTGTGTATTTACGCACGTAAAGTAGTACCTCACTATCTTTCTCTTTCTTTCTCTCTCTCTCTCTCTCTTTTGATAACGACGTCCAGGAGTTCCGCCCAGTGTTTAATAAGAGAAGCGGAGAGAGAACTTTTAATCGAGGAAATAAGAAGCAGAAGAAGTGAATGAAGGATCGTTTAGTCACGATCAAGGCGCTTTCGCGCTTTCGTCGATCATCTTTACTGTCGTCGTCGTCGTCGTCGTTGTCGTCGTAGTCGTGTATTATTCCTCGCCGTCGTTGCCGTTCTCATAGAAAGGAGTTTCGATGTGTGACGACGTGGATTAACACATAATATAACAACCGTAGGAGGAGGCTACAAAGTTTATGGTAAATAACGGAGAATGTATATGCATACATATGTATCACATGCACATATATACATACGGTTTCGCGCGCCTTAAATCTCCTGGTTTTCCCCTATTTTTTTTTTTGTTTCTCTCAAATGTGTGCCGTCACAGGTGTCTTTCGATCGGTCGAATCGAAGAGACGGGGGTGAACGAGGACGAACGATATAAGAGTTAAATGGAACATCAGAATTGAAAGATAAAGAATAAAAATAATAGTAGTGATAACCAACTAAAGAAGAATAATAAGAATAAGAATAAGAATAAGATGATGATGATGACAACTCCTCAAGCGACGCGCACTTCCTTTACGTAACGAAAGCGCGTTAAGAGAGAGAGCGCGCGCGCGCGCTTGCGCTCTATATAATCCCTTCGTGTCGTTTGTGTCGTCGTCGTTGTTGTCCGTCGTTGTTGTCCGTCGTCGTCGTCGTGTCGTTGCGTTGCGTTGTCGACGTCTTTACTAAACGCGATTTATTTTGTTGAAAGAAAGAAAGGAAGGAAGGAAGGAGGCAAGCGAATAAGCCTGTCAGTGTGTTCATCGGTGGGCCTGCTGCGCTTCGATCATCGGCATTGCTCGTTTTCGTGCGTCCTCCTCGTGCCCCCTCGTATGCCCCCGTCGATCGGCTACCTCCACCATCCCCCTTCCACTCATCGTCCTTCTCCTTCTCCTCCTCCTTCCATTCCTCCTCCTCCTCCTCCTCCTTATCTCTCTCGCTCTTTGTTGTCAGTGCCTCCGTGAATTCCATCGCGCGCTGTCGTTGTGTCGTTCCAACGTTATTCTCGACTTTCGCTCAAGGATTATTCCCGTCTTCTCTACTACTTTTTCATTTTCCTTTTCTTTTTCTTTTCCTTTTTCGTCGTTTAGTATTTTTCCTTTTTCTTATTATTTTTCTTCTCGTCGTTGTCGTCGTCGTCGTCCGTTCTACGTCTCGCCGACGGTACAGCGTTTTACGCGAGTTAGAGCGTCTGCTCGTTTCCGCGGACGGCCTTCGATCGATCGATTCACCGTATGTATATTTGTGTGTCTACATATACTCCCTCCCTCCCGCCCACCCACCGATCCACCATCCTTCTCCTCTACTCTCCTCTCTTCTCTCTATTTCTCTCTTTCGTTTAAATCGTCTATCTAAATCACACAACATCGGATCGTAGATCGAAAGCGCGCTTGTTGTCCGTTATCCTAAACTCGCGTTCGCGTGTGTCCCGTTCAATAGTCACTTATTTACATTTGATCGTTTATATTGTTTTTCAGAAGAGCCGTCATACACGCGCGACACACATTCTATCTTATTTGACGAATCCAAATGCAAGAAGAAGAAGATATTATAACGGACGAGAAAACAACTTTCAAAAGGAGCTTGCGTGTTTTCTCTTTCTGAAGGTCTTATCCTAATTGAGAGATAAAATTAAAGTGAAGTTCTATCGAAGAAGAAGAAGAAGAAGAAGAAGAAGAAAGAAGACAGAGGATAATAGCAGTGGTGAGATATAAAAAAAGGAAAAAAAAAAGAAATCTATCGGTGCTGATATTGTGTTTTGTGATCATAGTTTAGTGTGTCAACGAGGAAAAAAAACGGCGTACAAGAGGCCCGTGCAATGGCCGTTTCAAATACTTCGACTCCTCGTTGTTCTCGTTGAGAATATATATTTGTTACTTTTCCCCCCCCCCCATTTCCCTTTCTATTTCTTTCCTTTTTTTTTCTTTTTTTTTTCCTCCTCTTCTTTCTATCTATATTTTTGATCCTATATTTCTTTACCTCTCTTCCTCTTCCTGTCCGTTTATATCGTTCGTGTACAGAGAGTTTAGTGCCGCGAGTGGGTGCGCCAATCGAAAAGTGTTGCTTCGAGAGAGAGCCAACGCGCGCCACGCCACGCCACGCCACGCCACGCAACGCAAGTGTGCCCTTGGAATAAGTGTCGATCGATGGGGAAAAAAAGAAATAATAGTTAAAGAAAATAATTAATAATAATAATAATATTATTAAAAAGTAAATAAGCTCTCTCGTTAAGAGAGTTTATTTTTCATACTCCGTATCGCGAGTTTCTTCTTCTTATACTTCGCGCATTAAGTTTGCCTTTTCTTGGGGGTTTTTTTTTTTGTTTCTCTCTCTTGTTTGCTACGACAATACGACTCGTGCATTTTGAAAAAGGAAAGAAAAAAGAAAATAAATAAATAAGAAATAAAAAGTGAGAGTTTCGGTTTATTTGATATATTATTATAATATTATCGTCAAAGTGTGTTTCATCACATCTTTCTTCTTACTCCTCATTGTGGATTATTATTTATTGGATTTACTTCTACACTATCATCGTCATCGTCATTGTCGTCGTCGTCGTCATCATCATCCTCCTCAACGTATTGGATTGTTTATGGAAAAAGATCCATCGACTTTGAGGATTTTTACATCATAATTCGAGGATATCAACTTGTTTTATGTGAGTAATTAAAATATATATTTAAATTTATCGCTATATAATTTTTAGATTCGTATTGTATTTTTCGCAAATGCGTTTATTTAGGTGTGCATGAAAGAAAAAAGAAAAAAATATAGAGAGTGAGTGAGTGAGTGAGTTTATCGCTCGATCGGCTGCCATCTTGTTATTTGTCGTCGAGGTTACGCGTTCGATTCGACGATCCCTTCGCAGTGTTTACTTTCTCGTATTACATCTCTTTCTTTCTTTCTTTCTTTCTTTCCTTCCTTCCTTCTTTATTTATTTATATCTATCTTCCTAATTTTTCCTGCCATTTTTCCCTCTCTTTCATTTTTTTCTCTCTCTCTTTCCCTGTTTTTCTATTTTTGTTTTTTTTTGTTTTTTCTTTTTCGCGTGCGTGCGTGCTTGCAGGTTATATGGGATTCGTTTTTTATTATTCATCTATTTATTTACTTTAATTTTTTTCCCCCTCCTGTAAATTTGTACGTACAAGCCTCTAATAAACGTATGTAGCTCAGACTTCTTCTTCTTTTTCGATTTTTATGTTGAGTTAGTTTATTTATTTTTTCATTGCATTTTTGTAAATAATAAGTCGCGATTTCGCGAAAGGTCAAAAGAAAAACGTCGAGATGCGTCGTCGGATGAGAAAAAGTTTTGTCATTATCTTTAGAGTATATTATACTTTTGCAGGTGTACTTATACGATTCAGAAAAATAAAATTCTATTTCTATGCTAAATGTGTTATTAACCATCGGATTTTTTGGCTAATAATAATTAACGTAAAAAATTTTTATACGTAAATGATGACAGTTTAAAAAAAAATGTTTCCTATCGTTATTCGTTTTTGTATAAAATATCAAAGAATTTTGATAGAAATTCTGAACTGTGAATCGTTCAGAAATTAATAATATTTTCTAAATATTTCAATCGTATTTTGTTAGCAAATCGTGTTACGTTCTAAGTATGACTTACGGCTATCTATCTTATGTTAATCGATATTTAAATCGATTAGTAATGATTTTTCGAGGAATACGCGTTAAATGGGTAGAATATATATTTTGAGAAACAACTCGTACTTTAAAGCAAAGTCATCGTTGATCTTACATCATGACAGCGGAAACTTGGCGAAGGTCGAACTCGTGCCGGATCGTCTAGCTCGATTGCAAGTATGTCTCGACTTGCACTCGTTTCAATTCGTCATATTATTACGAAGGAAGAAGACAACTGCTGACAACCTACGACGACGACGACTACTACTACGACGACGATTACACCTCGAAGTGCAAAGAACAACAAAGATAAAATGTTTCGTAAAAATGTTATATGCTTTTATCACGAATACTTTATTACGATATTTCTTTGGTTTCTCTTTTTATCTACGCGAGATTAGATTAGGGAGTTTAACTGTAAATCTATTTTTCATTTATATATGTCCTATCAATTATTGTAGTCTTCCTTTTAAATGATATTTTATCTTAATTATACGTCTTCATTGATATTTATGATATTGACGGTAACATATATTCTCTATTAAATATATAAATATATACGAGGACGGGTTGAAAAGTATTGAGCCTATTCTTTTTTCCACAAATTTTCAGATAATATCGAAAGTAAACAATTGTTTCTTTGTTAAGCCTTAAGATTTATCAGTTAAACGCGTATCATATTATGTATAAAAATATTCAGCTTCAAAGCCAAGAATTTTGGACTTGGCTTACAATATCCCCTAACAATAATTGAAATTCTAAAATATACAAATATATATTTGTAATGTATACAGAATGTTTTAAAATAAATTCAAGGATAGTTTTAAGTATGCTAGAATAAGAAACATGATATTATATCGAGCAATTGATTGTATGAAATGTTTTTATTTTATAGCGTAATGAAATTATCCTAGAAGTTTTGTTCGCGTATTTTGAAATATCTTGTGTATTTATAATACGGACGCAATTATGATTAAAATGAATCGAATTCAAAATTCTATTAACATTTTTCTAATGTCATCTGAGTCAAAATGTTAATAATTCTTAATTATTATCGTTCGTGAATACTTTATATTTGAATTAAACGATTCGTGGTATAACAAATTTCGAATATTCACGGTACCGTTAGTATACATCGTGAATAAAGTTTTGAATTAGATAAAGATAGATAAAAGTATCAAACTAGTGACAACATATATATTTTATTTCTCCTTCTTATATCTTATTTACACATACGCGATCCTATCTCTTGGTAAATGAATATTTCATTCAAAAAGGAAGGATACTGTTCTCCTATCCTTACATTTCCTATTCCTACAGGGATGGTTAATTATTCTTCGTGTATTAATAATCTAACGATATTTGGTCTCTGTAATCGAGACTTTTGAATTATTCAAGTAAGAACTTTGCTTTGGTCCAGTCATCCTCTCGTTGTCGTAAATCGTGCACGATTACTTTATCGCGTTGAAAAGTGGCGTGTTATTGGTCAATGGCATGCCTCGCACAGAGATTGATGAAACCCCGAGGTTTCTTTTTCAACGAAAAAACAACCTCGGTAAACGATCCCATTGTATATAACGTCAGTTTCTAGAACACGAATTTCTATTACACGAAATTCATACAACGCGTAATAGGAATAAATAATAATATTAATCGTTTTATATAGTAGTAGTAGTCTACTACTATATAAATTTAAACATTTATTAACTTTTTGACTGCTATGGGCGCACATATGCGTCTAGCAAAGGCTATCATTGTTAAATTATGGACGCATATATGCACCCGATGAAAACTTTGCTTGTTTATTATTATTTCATGTGTATGTTTGGTAATTGTTTCTATAGTATATGTCCAACAGCGATCGCATGTCACTCATCACGCGAACCGTTTCAACTTAGAATAGTTCACAGTCAAAGGGATGTAAAGAGACAAAAGCAAATCATCATCATACCCAATACAATTTATACTTCGTAAAACCTTCATTCGTATCTTCGTCAGCGATAGTTTCGATTTCTCCTTATGATGCTTACGTTTTAGTTATTTCGCGTTGCGGAACGTAAGCAAACAAAAATTTCTTATGCACTTTTTTCATGCTCGAGCAACTTTCGTTTGAATTCTTTGGTTCTTTCTCAAGGGAACTGGGGACATACCATTACACTACTACCAATCGAACGAGGTCGATTCCAAAATACTCGTGTTGTTGTTGTTGTTGTTGTTGTTGGTTGGTTGGTTGGTTGGTTGGTTGTATTTGGAATATAGGTAATAAAAAGAGGCGGAGAAGACCTTTTTCGAAGGATTTCGAAATGGTTAAAGGAGCACGAAAAGAATAGACATAGACAAGAATAGGTAGAAGAATACTTGGTTCGAAAGCTTTCGATAAAGGAAACGATTATTTTTTATCTCTTTGCTTTATGGAATGTTTATATATGATGCATATATACCTGTGCATATGTATTGTTTGTGTTTGTGTGTGCGGATGCTTATACACGAGTTTTCAATCATTGAGAGGTTCTTTATTTAACTATGTTAGGAATTTATGATACCCGAACGATTAATTATCGTCGTATTCTCGAGTATTTTCATTTCATCGGAAAGAGATATATATATATGATTTGTTTATGCATCGTGAAAAGATAAGTCACGCGTGAGTACGAATGAAACTTCAGTTTTTTTGTAGGAAATCATTATTATTTTTTTCTTTCTCTCTTGTATTATTTTCTTTTCATAGTAGTAGCAGTAGTAGTTTTATTCTTTCTCGATTACAACGCGTTAATTCTTCTTCTTCTTCTTCTATTTTCAGTTCGCTTCCCTTTCCCTTTTGTAATTTCGTAGTCACCCTTTTTGCCTAGGATCTTCTTTCTCCCATCCCTACGCGGAAGAGAAGTTTTCGAGGAAAATTTAACGACGACGCTTCTCGCGCGTCTTGCATGGCTACCTTCTTTACCGTCTAGAAAACTTTTCTGGACGAGATTCAAGCGTGGAAACTCGAACGAGTACTCTTCAAAGAACGAGAGAAAGAGAAAGGAGAAAGGGAAAGATAGAAATAGAGATAGAGAGATAGAAACAAAGATAGAAAGTGTCGTTAGAGTGAATCATCAATTTAACAGTCGGTATTTTGTTTAATGATATATTTTCAAGAAATTAATAATATTGTTAATTAACATAAGCCCGAGAGAGATTATTATCAATTCTTATCAAAATACGAAAAGATTCTTTTCTCGTTATACGTAAACGAAATAATTAGATATCACATATCTCGTATTAGTAGAATTATACTAAAGTTAATTCGATCCTATCACTTGGTTTAAACGAATCTAATTAACTTGTTATTCTACGATGATGTTGCTACGATTTCGGCGTGACATTCCCGTTGGCAGTCAGTCAGTTCTATCGCTTTAGTTTCGCACGTGGATCGATCATCTGTGAAAATTTCGTATGATGTTTACATTTTCGTGTGAATTGAAATATTGACGCAAAAAACAAAAAACGAAAATAACTCGATTTAAACTTAAAAAAATTTACCATGCACATTTGTTAATTGTTGTTGTTGTTGTACTATTGTACGAGATTTGTTGAAAAGAATTTTTTTTAAATATTAATATATTTATAATGTGTATTTATGGATGTTAAATGATTTGAATATATATATACGAGAAGAATAAATAATTTGATTATTGAAATTTGACGGAGTTAGGATTTATAGGAACGTTAGAATACAACGAAAGACGGTAAGAGAAGGATAACTAAGGAAATGATGGTGGCAGGGGGGGAAAGGTAAATGGAAAGGTTAGTGTGGTAGTTCGCTATAATTATTCGCAAAGCGTAGCTATTTACAAGCAAATTAATCGCGGAGCGTTCCAGTAACCTTATTACTAGTACGCTTTCTCTCTCTCTCTCTCTCTCTCTCTCTTAGCTGTACTTCAAGAAACGAGGATCTGTGTATGGACGAGACCACAGGAAACTCTCTCAGTCTGCTGCCAACCGTTTATCGATTCATTACGTCGACCATATACG